GTGTGTGTGTGTGTGTGAGCCAGTTGTCGGAGTGAGACAGCGAGAGATAAGGGCCGTAAAAACCATACTTGCAACCGCACGAGCTGCACATTTGTGCGGAGTTCCGTGCGGGGGGTGCCTGTGCGGAATCGTGCAGGTTTTTTATTTTTATTATTGTTATTTTATCTTTTTTTGGGAGGGGGAACGGGGGGGCGTATGACAGGAAGATGGGGATATAGCGAGGAGAGGGGGATATGGAGAGTAGTAGGAGGATGTGGACAAGGAGGACGACGAGGAGGAGGAGTCGAGATGGGGGAGGAGAAGAGATGGACGGAGGGAAAAGAGGAAGGGCAGGAGGAGGAGGACGAGTGGGAGGAGGAGAAGACATGGATGGCGAGGAAGGGGAGGACACGAGGAAGGGAAGGAGACGAGGAGGCATGGAAGATGAGGAAGTACGAGGAGGAGGAGGAGACAAGGAGGATGAGGAAGGGCAGGAGGAAGGGAGGAGAAGACATGGAGGATGAGGACGGGGAGGAGGAGCAAGGTGAGGCAGGACTCCTGTAAATTTTTTTTCATCTCGCTTATAATTTTGGCGGAGGGCCTCAAACGCACCGTTTCGACCCCGGCCTTTTTTTTTCTGAGGGGGGTGACGGATCGTTCTCCGCACACGTCGTGCGCCTCACGGGATCGGTTGGGCGCGTGCGCCGCACGTAGGGAACCGCCCGCACGACGTGCGCTTGCATGTATGGTAAAAACTGTTTGTGTCTGTGTTGTCATGTTTGCTATACACAGCTCCCCACAAAAGAAAAAAAAAAGAAAAAAAAAAAAAAACATGACTATGCTTGTGTTGTGAAGGATGACATGCCAACAGTCTCTATTCCATCATGAATAACGTCAAGGCGATACAAACCGAATGGAGGAGGCTGTAGAAATGCAAGGTTCCCCCAATGCCTGTGTGGTTGAGCAGGGGAGCCCAGTCATCTGTCCACTGGATGTGCGCACTCTCACCATTCAAGGGCCAATCGTCTATTTAATCGGATGCATCTTAAGAATGTTGACGAGGCATCGATGGCACATAACCCACTCCCTATTCTAAGGGTCGCACATCAGAAGAATCTCTCTCACACGACAAGGAACAAACGTAGCCCTCGTTTCACCCAAAACTACCAAACCGCAGGCCCACAGCACTGCAAAAAGACATACAAACCCCGCACGTCAGGACTGCATAGAACACCGTGGTCTGCAAGATCACTACATGCTTAAGAGCTACAGCCCAATGGGAGTCACCTGCAGCATACACTCTCAGAGTCCATCCATACATCCAGCATAGCAACAGACCTTTTTCTTTGTTTTGTTTGAAAAAACGACGGTTTGGGTTACTGTTGGGGGTGATAGGAGCATACCCTAGTCGTAACTTTCTGTCATTGGCCCAGTCTATTGGTGGGGAGCATCACCTGCTAGAAACTGGGTCTCGTGTCCCATTGCATAACTTGAACATTTAGTATTTAGTATTTACAGCTTTTACAAAGATACGTACTTGGCAGCATTGATTGCCCTGTTGCCAGGGGATTGACTGACAGTGACCCACAAAGACTGCCTGTGACCTCGGGAGACCAGATAGGACTTTTGACTCCATCTCCGTTTTCGATAAGGTTAAGGTACGGGGCCCACTGAGTATTTCAGATATCCAGGCATTCAGTGCGGATTCCATTGCGCCTGGCTGCGTCAATAGCAGATCGAACCACTCTCAGGGGCTACAGACGATCGGCTGCTCTGGTCTGGAGTTTCCGGCTCCTTGGGGGGCGTCATGGAACCGGCAAATCAGCTTCCCTTCCCCATCCTTCTTCTACCAACCAGTCAGCTTGCATACCATCGGGAATCACCAATTGGGGGATAAGGATTCGCAAGGCGGAGGGGTAAGGACAGGTCCACTCTTGTCCAGTCATCGAGGGTAAGGCGGTAATCTCTATTAAACCACCAGCACCTCGCCCACACATAGGCCATGGGCCCCTCATGGCGACTTTCGGAGGCCCGAAACACAACACCGGCTGCTGATGAAATTTAGCAACGGCGGCCCGCCCCGAAAGTTGTGGCCACTAACGAGCTGCATCTCTGAAAAATAGCTGGGAAAGGTACTGGTGCGTTAATCTTCTCCCCTTGCTGCCTCCCCTCACTATCACCTCCCCAGACCACCGACGCCATCCATCCTTTCCGCTCCCCCCCCGAGACAGTCCTTGCAGAATTTTGCAATTTCTTGTCCGATATACGATGATGTGTTGAAAAGATCCAGCTTAGGATCTCACTCCACTACACTAGACTCACGAAAAAAATTGTGAGTACTTCTAGAGCTGTCAGAGGTCTTGAAAAAAGAAGCATCGCTCCACTTTGCTAGTGGTGCTGATAAGAGCAGACACCGTTATCACCTGGGGAGAGACTCCATCTATTGGTGGGGAGCATCACCTGCTGGAAAACGGGTCCAGCGTCCCTTGTACAGAATGAATCAGAAAAAACAGAGAACTTCGCAAAGAAAGTATCTGGGAAAAGCCTGCCAGCATTGATTACTCTGGAATCCAGAGGATTAACTGAGCAGGTTGCTGAAGGTTGCTAAAGGGTGCCGCTGATGTCGATCTTCTCTACTCCAGTTATGAAGGGCATCTATGATATAGCAATCTCCCACCGCTGGAAACCAGTTCTCGCGTCCCTGGCGTGGAGATGCAGTGGGGCCACTGGGGGCCACCAGCAGGACCACGCGCCTCTCCACCCTTCTCTGTTCGTCCTTTTTCTACTTCCGATATATATCCGGAAAATGAGCTTGGCTATATCGGCCTGCCAGCATTGATTACCCTTATCATCAGGGGATTGACTGAGCAGGTAATAGAAAATCCGACGTTTTGCAGATAGGGGTCTGGGCACCGGGGCACGACCTCACAACAGAATTTCTGTTAGGGAGACTCCAGACTCAAGAACAATAGAAGCACTCACGAATTTCTCAGCGCTACATGACAGTCCTTCTAGAGCGCTAGATGACAGTGCCAGCTCGTTCTGATGGTCGGGGCAGGAGGCACACTCGCAAAGAAAGAGGCCGGAGCGGGGTTGGGAGCGAGGACGCTAGAAAACCTGAGCGTTGCAGGCTGTGAACTCTGGACAAATCGAGAGTGCCCTTCGAGAGCGCTTTCTGACAGGTCCCGAAGGGTGTTGCCATGAGTTCCAGTCTTAGAGTAAGTGGAGCGAGGCGTTACTCTCAAAACCTTGGGAGTCGAGGAGTGGAGCGAGGCCCTTACCCTTCATCGCCAGCCATCTACAGGTGAGTTCTGACTGTCCTTGTTGTTTGATTTGTCATGTTACCTCGTCACCGTCTTCCCTCATGTCTTCTCACACGTGAATGCATAGCCGCAACCATAACCCTCACAAAATTGCTCTTCTTCCTAATCTGTACATGTTCGCAGTGAAGGTGATGGTATTTGATTCTGGCCAATATCCAGCCGGGGTCGTGCCCCCCTCCTATGGCCAGAAGGTCCCCCTTTGACTGTCTTTCTCCAAATTTTGTCCCACCACCACCATGTTAGGACTGATCCTGGATATTGCCAGAATATGTGTTCTTTAGTTTCTGGGATTTTTTGTGAGGGGAAGCTCTGTAAACAGCATACATACAAAGGGTGGGCAAGCCCCTTCTGTTCCGGCCCAGCGTGGTCAATCAGCCAGTCTTGGTGGGTGGACAGTGGTGTGCTATCTGCCAGTGCAGAGAGGAGATTTTATCAGCTTGGTTGTTCCTCTCCTGAAACCAGCAGATTGGCCTCAGGAGTTTCCTTTCTACGTCAAGTTGTCTCACCCTGCTGACCACATCCCTCAAGTTTCTCTTGACTCTTAGCATTCTTAAGTGGTCTTTACATCCAGATTATGCAGGTACTTTCATTTTCTGGTTCCATTAGCTGGCCCTGCAGGCACTGTCCATTGCCAGTGGTGAGGATTTGTGGTAGATAAGCTCTCTTCTCCTCCCCTTCCCCTATGACCCAAATTCTATAGACATTTACTTTGTCTATCCATTCGAAAGGGTTTGGGCCACCGGATAACTACCTTCTTCCCCCGAATAGAACGCCCGGTCTTTATAGCTGCATTTGGCCCAACTTCCAGTCCAGATGCAGCAATAATGACCAGGCGTTCTATTCGAGGGAAGAATGTAGCCCTCTACGCCTAGTGTGTAATATTCGACCAGAACATTCTGCCTGTGCTAGACGTATTCTCTCTACTCGATTGACCTCTCCCTTTATGGCCACCCAGTCCCCTTCTTCGAAAGAAGGCCACTTTCAGAGAATGATGAGCCAGGCCAAGGGGAGGGAAAAAAATTAACTTTCCCAGCCTTGCTTCAATGTGGTGGCAATACCGTAGCAAGCCTCGGAGTTGCTCCACTGATTTCCAATCTTTGGTCTCGGTATTCCACAATTCCCCAACCGTAACGATTCCATGCTTCAGCAACCCTAAGCACGGGGTGTTCGTACTGAACATTGCCTGGCACTGTGAGTTGGTGATCCAGCGATTGCCAAATCATGGCTGTCTGTATACTTCCTCCCAACGATGTGGCGAGGTTCGCTCGGGTAGGGAGAGTTTCCTCCAAATTTCAAGCAGTATGAGCCAAAATTCTTGTTAGAGCTCAGAACAAAGCTAGGAAATTTGCGCAGGATCGAAGAGAATAGACAAGCAATCATACAAGCTATCCCAGACTCATGGGTAGGTATTCTCAGAAGACCGAGCAGGGACTACGAAGAACTGCAGTGGTGGAAGGTCCTGGCAACGTCCTCCTTTATCAGAATAGAGAAAGTAATAGGGAATGGACAGGTGGAAGTAACAGAATGGGAACTCTCAGGCTCGCGGTTGGTGCAGACACAAGGAGACACTGTAGTGAAGACCCCAGTGGGATGGCAAAGGATCCGCGTAACTCAAAAGAAAGGACAGGGAGAGAATAATGAACTCCAGGTATTACTGGAATCCAAACCAGTCTGTGAATGGAGAGTGGATGTGGACAAAATCGGTTGGAAAATAACAGACACGGCAGGGGTTACCTCGACAGTACCACTCACAGACTACTCATCAAACACTGTCTCTTATACACATCTAGATGTGTATAAGAGACAGCTTCTAAGTCCACCATCTCTCCCTCACCCTCTCGCTACCTGACGTCTTAGTATCTGCAGACTACGAGAGAGAGGGAGATTGGTGACTTCGGGACTTGACGACATTTGGATCCAGACTCCACATTGGGATTGACACATTGGACGAGGGATTATTTGGGACCTGTACCGAAGACTTGGTCTTGACGACATTCCCATCTTCCCCTCTTCTTCCTCTAACCCCCCTCTTCTTCGTCTGTGTATGGTTGGGGACTGGTGCATTCTTCCTGTCTGAGCACCAGGCCCCTTCACACCATGGAATGATGATGATGATGTATGTTTGGTCTGCATTGCAACATTGATTGTTTGGATCATTGGTATATTAGCCTTCCGCTGCGCTATCTTGTACTATGTGAGAGAGGTCGGTTCTTGTTCTGGTCTGCACCATTACGGTATGCGACAGGTAGGATGCAGAGGAGTGGAAAAAAAGGAAACGGGACCAGTCCACTAGGCTTACCTCTTGGTGCAGAGCACATACGGAAGCAGTTGCCCCTTGGTACAAAGCATATGCGGAAGCCTATCTATCAAAATCTATATGGGAGACCATTGAGCATATTTTCTTTTTCCGGCACAGGGCCAGAATCATCTGTAGGTGGTGGGTGCATGATGGCAATTTGGCAGGATTGGAGGCTTGTTTTCGTGGATGAGAGACCTCGATCTCCCTCCTTACCTTTCCTTCAAAACCCGGCCCAATTTGGCAGGATTGGAAGTTTTTTTTCTTTTTTTTTGGACCATTTCTTGATTTATGTGTGTCATCCTTGTGCAGGGGCCATGCTAATCTTCTCTGTTTTGTTTTGTCGCATCCTTGCACAGGGGCCACACTAATCTTTTCTGTATTTGTTCCAATTTTAACTGTCAGCCCAAGCCGAAATTCATTGTCCTAATATACCTTTCTCGGCCTTTTGGCTAAGATCAAGTGTAGTATCTGTTCTGATCAGTTTAATATCTGATCCATGGTCCATCGGACCACACGATATTAAATTATTTTT